GAGCAGCATAGTCCTCGAAAGAAAGTAGAAGTGGAGGACTGTCGACTTCCGCGTGCGCCTCGAAATGAAGGCTGGTTACTCGCGAAGAAACCAGTTCCGAAGGCCTCGAGAGTGTCGTCGAATCACTCTCGGCGGTGCTCAGTTTCCCTGTCMGCCCTTGCCTTTCAATGGGCAACCCTGCGTCTGATAAAGATCGTTGTTGCACCAAAGGCAATAGTGGAATCTCTCGCGTGCCTTGAAGGCAGAATCGGAGATGCCATACTGGGTCCATGGGCCTGTCTGAGCTGCTGCATCGAGACCGGGGCTAGAAACGGTGTGTGTCTTCGTCTTGCCGCGTCCTCGACCTCTGCCGGGGTGGCCACCTTCCCGGGCGGCTGCGAATCTGTCCCCTTCACGGTCAAACATAGCCTCGCTGGTTTGGCCTTACAGCGCTGCCACTGCGACCACGGCCACTCTTGGCCGATGCTGGTTCCCGCTCAGGCCTGATGCAGATGAACGGAGGTTCTTGGCCACCTTGTTCGTGACGATGATCTGCGCCGCCTTGTCAAATAATTCCGCCGTCGTCGTCAAGGTGTACTCGACATGCGTCAGGGCATTGCTCAATGTCGGACATGACCTTGAGATGAAGTAGTGGCGGATGGCCTTGAAGCCCATCTGGATGTCTGGGACTGACGTCAAGCGTTGGTACTCGGCGATCCAGTCCGTACTCGGCAGCATGCCTTCCTCGAAAATCATGAGCTTGTCCATGGCCTTGATCTCTGGCGGCTCCACCTGGAACCGCTTGTACCACGCCGCCTTCAGATCATCCCAACTGATCATGGTGTGCAAGTCCGCTGCTACCACTCCGTACTTGGACAAGAGGTTGTCCAACCAAGCGTGGCACGTGCCCCCTGAGCGAGAGTACAAGTAGGCGTGATACTTGTGTTCCTTGACATTGGACAGCTGCAGCGTGAGCTCGAACTTGCGGAACCATGGAATCGGATCTATCTTCGTTGAATTGCAGAAGATCTCCTGCCCGTCAAACTTTGGAGTTGTCTCGTGCGGCTCCGTACTCGAGGTAGTGGATGTGGTACAGACCCGCTGCTGCAACAGTTGCATCGCGGTGAGCTGTAACTGTGCGCCATCCTGGAGTGATCCGACATGCGTCTCCAATGGATTGAGGTGGTCGGCAGTATTAGAAGAGCCTGCGTCGGCGAGGGCGACTGGTCGCTGCTCCAACCGCTGAAGGCGGTTTTGCATGTGAGCTAGCGAGCTGTCGAGGCGAAGGATCTTCGCCTACTGTGTAATGCAGGTGGCCAAGAGATCCGTGAGATGTGAGAGGAGGAGCGTTATCTTATTTGCGCTGTCCTCCAACTGGTTGTTCTCGGCCTCGGTCCGCCATGCCGCTGCCATGGTAAGTAATGCCCGCTCTCCGGTGAATATCTTCTCACGACGGTATACTCTTTCTTCATTGGCAGCCCTTGCTGCTGCCTCGTCATGCTGGCAATGTTGTTCAAGTGACAGCAGACGTGCCTGCTCGGCATCTTCTGCCTTCTTCTTCGCTGCTGCTGCAGCGTCATCTGCCCGTTTCTTAGTCTCGATACTCCAGGCCAGTATGCGGGCCTGATAGGCCTCATCCGCTTCGTCGGGCCTCTGGTCCATGACTACTGTTTGAGATCTCAACAGCATAGACCGGTCGGGGCCTGTTTCCTCTGCTGCTGACGTGGCACTGCTAACGTGTCCTGATGGCGTGGCATGCTGACGTAGCCTGCTGACGTGGCCTGCTAACGTACTGACGTAGTCTGCTGACGTGGCCTGCTGACTTGCTCTGCTGACGTGGCCTGCTAACGTACAAACGTAGTCTGCTGACGTGGCCTGCTGACCAGCTCTGCTGACGTGGCCTGCTGACGCGGCAACTCACCAATGCCGCCGCAGGGGATACTCGGATTCAAACAGAAACGGAAAGGCGAGAGATGGCAACAACATAGGTGGGGAGGGGTGGGTGGGATAATCGCCCAACTCACAGTTAGATAAGGAGCCAGTAATCAAAATAGATAAGGATCCTGGCGCTCTACACAGGAAGAGAGCGCCAGGTATAGACATACACAGACGAAGAGGTAAGGATCAAACGAAAGGAGGGAGAAAGATGGGAATGTCGTTAACACCAAGTCTTGGTCACCAATCCCAAATAAACCCTCGTTGCCATGTCTGAAGTCCCAAATGTCGAGTCTGCATCCGATGTCACCAAGCTCGGTATCCCTTCTCTCATAGTGTGCAGATGCAGTGAAGTCAAAAGTTGAGAGGGAGAGAAGAGATGGTGGACTGAGAAGAGGAAGAAGAAGAACTCTCTCTCTCACTGTTCCGAACCTGATACTAACCTGTGATGTTGGCGCTGTGCTGCAGGTACCTCGAAGACGAAGTTGAAGCAACGGCGCTATAGGTAGGTACCTTTGGCCTCCGCCCAAGCTCTCTCTCTCTCTCTAGCACTACCTAGCTATGGCGCCCAGCGCTGGAGACTACAGCTACCTACTGCGCCCAACGCTGAAGACTACAAGCTAACGCTACTACTCTACAAYGCMGCGCTCCCTCCAGAGTGCTGCTCCCGAATCCTGAAGACTACAACTGCCGACTGCCCACCTCGGAAGTGCCTAGGAAGTCCTATGTACTACCTCGGCCTGCCTCCTGACTACTGGAGGCGAGTCAGGCCGAGGAGGCAGCTCTTGCCAATGCTGAAATGTGTCAGGGGATGGCGTGCAGCAGCCTGCTTGAGGCTGGCA